TAAAACACAACCCCAGCCACACCAGTGCACTAAAATCCTGTGCAGCTGCTGCCAGCTAACACAGGTGCAGAAGAATGAAACACCTTGAGATTTAAAGAATTGGTCATAGAAAAAGAGCAGTGCTGGATGAATAAAGAGAGATGATGAGGGGTATTCAGAGAGAGAACACATGGCTGAATCATAGAAGAATATCGCTTTGACCTTGAGATATGAAATCACTCCGTGGCATTACTGAAGATTATAGAAGAGGAGGATGTATCTGAATAGATCTGACTAATATAATAAGTCACAAGCACCACCAAGACCTTCCTCAAAAATTCAAAACATCAACATACTTGAACGACTAAAACTTCATCTTTAAGCAAGCGAGTTTAGATCCAGTAACTCAAATGTCAAAACACACATCAAGAACTGGTATAAATTAAGGATTCTGTAGATAGTTCCCCTCTGGCTATTGTGTAATCTCATATCGTCTGCTGGTAGGGCCTATACAGTTTCTCATGTCGCAGAAGTTGCAGGAGGAAACCTTCCTTTGGAGGGACAGCAGAAAGGAGAGGAGAGGCAGACGAAGCATCAGGGGTGGAGCATTTAGAAGTGGAATACCTGCTGCTGGCCCTGGACTTTGGGGAAATCCTCTTTTTGCTTGCGGGCTTTGGGCCTCTCCAGGCTGCCTTGTTGAAGGTGTTTGAGCCTGGCTGCGACTGTGGGGCCCTTCATTGGCCCCGGAGAGTTACTGCTGTTCTGTTGGGGCCAGGAGAAAATAGATACCATCAGAGCTGTCATCTGAACCTGAGCTTTTTAACAGTGACAGACACTGAGAACTGTTCTTCTCCCATTGTTATACATACATGTACACTCCATGGCCAAATGTAAGTGGACACCCGAATTATGGACCTAGACAACCAGCGGTTGAATGACCGCATGCGGCTAAACTTGTCATCACTGGTCACATTGGGCAGGGGTCCAGAGAAAACTACGAAGTCCGACACTGTTTTGGCGACGTTGCACATCGACTCAACATTAACTTTAGTGACCTCTGACTGGCGAAGTCAGAAGTCATTAGCCTCAATGTGAATAACAATCTTACTGTATTTACACTTATCCTTAGTCAGCAGCTTCAAATAGGATTCGATGTCGCCCACTCTGGCCCCAGGAAAACATTTGACTATGGCCGCCGGTGTCTCTAGCTTCTCATTTCTAACTATGGAGTCGCCAATTACCAGAGTTGTCTTCTCAGCGGGTGTGTCGCTGAGTGGGGAAAATCGATTTGAAACGTGAGCAGGCAGGTGATGCATCGTGGGCATTCATTTCAGGCTATGACTCTTGCGAACTGTCACCCAGCCACCTGTCTGAGCTCCTGGCATAATGGTGGTTCCACACCATTGTCTAAAATACGTTTGAGTACCGCTGGATCATTAGTATTAAGGGGTTTAGCAAGAAAAATGAAAAGCTGTCCTAAAATACAGGTGTCTACTCACATTTGGTTGTATAATGTACATTGTGCTTTCTGCATCAATAACCTTTTTACATACTGTTGACCTGCTTTATGCACAGATACATATAAAGCAGTTACATTCTCTGTAGTGTTCAGTTTTGCTCTTAGCAGTTCATGAATTCTTGAACAGTATGCACACACTGAAAATGAAAATGGTCCACCACAGCAAATGCTGTGTTAATGACCAATATTATAAAGAGACATTTTTATTCTGCTGACATTAATGACTGCTGGAAGCACTGTGCCCTAAATGCCTTCAGTGGATTAAAACAGGATCTGAATTTAAAACACCTGCAAGTAAAAAAAAAAAATCCTTTCAGAGAAATATTTCTGTCTGCAGCCCTGAACCTGAAATCAACACCCTCCCTCCCCATCCTTTATTTTGACAGCTACCTGTTAAGCACAGTTGTGTGACAAATCCAGCAGAACCAAAGCCTCTTTACTCAGCTAAACGTGTCACCAGAGCTGTGGAGAAGTGTGCTCACTGCTCTCAGTCTGTATGGCAAAACCAAATCCATCTTCTGCTTCAATCTATGCTGACTCACTGCATGTTACACCATCAATTACAAGCCCGTATCATTACATGGGCAGAGCAGCAGCTAACTGAGAGAATGAACCAAAAACTCATTGCAAGGTTCCCAAACAAACATATCCACAGAAGCAGAAGATTGGAAGAGAGCAGAGGAGAGGAACTGTTAAGACGGTCAGAAAGACTGTTATTAATGCATTTCAGGTGTAAAAAAATGTGATGAGATCAGATCAGCCACTTCTGGAGGCGCTCAGGTTCACGCTGTGACCGGACCTCAGCTGGGTGTCATGGCAGTCTGTACAGTGAGACCACACTCTTAAAAACAAAAAACATCTGGGAAGTTGAAATAACTCCTGTGATTAAAGTAACCCAGTTTTTACAAGTGTGTTTTCTGTGTGGACTAAATAGAGATGTTGACACTTGGTGCATTAGTGATTTTGGTGCATTAGTGATTTTAAAGGCTTTAGTGAAGTAGTAAATACTGTAAAACAGGGAAAAGGGAGGCAGAAAGTAGAAACAGAAGCACAGTCCACAGGCGTGGCAGAGGACTGCTCTAAGTTTTAACTTTACCTTTCTGCCCGAGGACCCAGAGGTGAGGGTGGTCTTTGGTGGGGTGCGGTATCGTTTATGACAAAGGTTTACAGGAGTTCTCTGAAATACCTTTGGTCCGTTGTTGTATGAGAGAGTGTGGCACAGACATGTTATCACACTGATAAGGAACACAAAAGCAAAACTCAACAGGTACCTCTGTGTGACTAATGAGTCACTGATCTAATCTGTTGTACCTCCAGCTCAGCAATAATCTTCTCTTCATCATCCTCATCTTGAATGGCTGACGCTGCGATCACAGGCGGGGTTGAGGCAGGGCGAGGGGCGTCAGAGGGCGTCCGCCTCAGCTTCACAAGAGTTTTGGGCAACTCCCCATCCTCTTCCATCTGAAAGGCAAAATAAAAACATTAAACCTCTTCAAACTACCCTATTACAGCAAAACGCAGACATAAGAACCAATAAAGGAACCCTCTTGGTAGTTTACGCCTCCAAACAGGTGGAGGCAGAGATACAGAGGAGTGAGACCTGCGACTCAAACCGCTGACGATTTGACACAAACTATGGACATATACATGGTGCACCACCAAACATCACACTCAACTAAAAATGAACAAGGGTGAGGAAGTGGGCATCAAATTCAACATCCAACGCACAAAAAATTGTTCTGCAAATAAAATTGTCAGATTCATATACTTTGTCAGAATTAGACAGTGAATATCAGAGCACTTTGCACAAGATGGCCATTATTTAGCATTTTCACAAACATCAAACTGAACTTCTGTGTGAGTAATCTCCAGGAACCATTTGATACTGTTCAGTCAGAATGGGCCAAGCTCCCTGAGGGAGGTTTACAGCACCTTGTTAAATCAATGCCATGGAAAGAGGAAAAAAAACTCAGCTGTTCTGGGGACAAAAGTGAATTTTCTCCACAGACGGAGATCAGGGAGGCTTTAGACAGCAGCAGCTTGTTCTTGCCTGGGAACCAAAACTGCCCCCAGCTAAGAGGAGCCTCAGTGTCTCATGCACAAGTGTCTGGTTTCTTCATGTGGGTCCAAATCCCACTAGTCTCACAGAACATGTTTCTGAATCCCACATATAAAGACTATTGAGACTGTGTTTCAAGGTGAAGCTGCATATCGTCAGTGGCTCCCCTGACAGGAAGTGTCCAGTGCTTAAAGAGTGAACAAGCACCACAGCTTTTTGTTAATGGCTCCTTACAATATTGTGGATCTGTTGTTACAGAAGGTCTACATGAAATTCAATTCACTCTATCCAATATCATATTGACAAACTATTGAAACTTTCAACCAACAGCAGCACAGGTGTGATACAGCTGCAGAGTCGCTAAATTAAATATAAACATTTCTGGTTTTGCTCACATTACCAAGTTTCATTCACTGTCATGATGATTTAAACTACCGCATCCTGTGAATCTATTTAAAGGCTCATTTGCTCACAAACACTGTCAGAGTTTAATGGAGCACAAGTGAAGTATATTTGACAGATTCCAGGAGAAAACGGTGTTTCCGTTGCAATACCTCAGGCACATCAATAAGAAATGCCTGAACTGGCACCGATCTGTTTGGAACAGCCTTACTTTGGAAGGATCGGTCCCAACCTGCAGCCTCACACTGAGCCCACACTTAGAGCCAGAGTCATAAAGAACTATGTCCAGAGATCAGAAGGAGCAGGAGTCCTGCAGCAGATGGTCTGGCCCCACAGAGCCCTGATCTCAACATCATGGAATCAGTCCGAGATCTCATGAAGAGACAGGAGACACAGACAGCCTGAATCCACAGAGGCACCGTGGCAGCTTCTCCAAGAGGCTGGAACAACCTACTGAGGAGACCTAGTGCTGGTTTAAAAGGGGGATCACAGCTAATAACCTAATTTAGGTTTTGTTTTTTCTTACACAGAAGTGTACATGACAAAGAAAGGCACATCTGAGATGCAGGAACTAGAGAATGTTTGTATTTTTGCTCAGAAAATAATTTCTGCCTTAATCACAGTTTAAATGATGATATAGACTGTGACTTGACTTGAGTATGCACCTGCAGATAGACATGCACAGGATCCCAGTTTTGAGTCTTATCCTGGTTTTGATCCTATCTAGTATATTTACATGAAAAAGAAATGCCCACCTAGTTTATTACCAGTAAAACTGATGTGACAGACATCAGTGTAAAAACTAGGCTGGGTGTACGAAACCAGTTCCAAAAAGCGAAGCACAGAAACAGTCCTGATAGTTTCTCACCTTCAGATTCTTGGTGGTAGCGACGACCTCTCCGGTGCGGTTGGTAGTGATGCCGTGTGCTGACGGGAAGCTTCGGCGTGGTGGAGGTGGCGGCGGGGACTTGGAGGGTTTCTCTGTACGATACCTGGCTACATTGAGATCCACTGCAGACAGAAGGCAACACTTCACAACACATCCCACCTGTAGAACTACTTCTTCCCACAACTTTACTACAGCTTAACTGAATGGAGTTTAGTGCCTCACCCGACCCTCGATGTGAACCGGTACCCTCCATACTGTTCAGCTTCTGGGCGGCCAGCTGCACTTTGCCAGGCTGTGGGTCCCCGCTGGGTGTGGTGGTTGTGGTGACAGTGGTCCCAGCTGCAGGAGACATAGCTGTGGTGGAAGTTATCGGGATGGTGATGTGGGGCTTGGGGGGTACTGCCGGCTTGTTGATGTGCTTGGCAGCGAAATCGAGGTCCGGGATGGCTTTCATCAGCTCGGCCTGGGTCTCTTCCAGCAAGCGATTGATGTCCTGGGCGCTGAACTGGGTCAAGCTTGCGCGCTTCTCCTCCCAGTCCCGCTCTGCCGCCTGACGTACAGACACAGAGACGAATGAGCTGGAACATGCAAACTACTAACAGGCAGAGCTGGAAAAGATAATGGAGACACATTCATGCAGTGCTTTCTAATGTTCCATGGACAAATGGGATTATAAACAGGCTGCTGCTGATGAGAGTACAGGGTCACAGTAAGAGGCTGAAATACCTTCTGATGCAATTTCACCTGTAAATGAATATTTTCCATCTGGTTAACCCTGGTATTTTAACACGAGCTAAATAATGTGTGTGAGTGCACTCAACAGCAGCATTTCAAAATGTACTGCGTAACGAGCAGCTGATTACCAGCCTGACTTCGGCTGACACAGACTTGTCGGCCGGACGCCGACTTGGCAACTCATCGAGAACTCGATTTCTGAAGCTCATCGAAGGCTGGATGTCTTGCTCGGGCCCCGAGGCGTCTGTGTCTCCGACAGAGACGGGCATCCAGTTGGCCAGGCCAGCACTGGTGCTCAGGTCAGTGAGGCTGAGAGGAGGACTGTTCAGGATGTCCAAGTCAGAGCTGCAGCTCATGTCCTCTGCTCTCTTCTGTATTTGGCTGGAGGGATCTTCAGGGCCCTTCCACACACCCTCAGTGACTTGTCTGTGTAGACAGGGAGGGATACAAAACTCTACAATACACAGAGGACAGCGGGAAGGTGTTGTAACCTGACAAATGATGATAACGTATACTCACTCAGTCTACAAACAAAATGAGAATTAGTCAAATGAACTCAATGAAGCTGTAACTAACAATTTGGATTTACATTTTCCACCTTTCAACAGTCGAGAGATGACAAACCAAGGTCTCCTGTTGGACTTGACCTGGGAACATAATTCACGATCAGCACCTTAAACCACTCGGCCTCTAGGAACCCCCACTAGCAATTATATTTATTACCAGTTTAACACGTGGGAGACTGTTTACAAAGATTCTGCAGCTCATTTTTTGGCACTAAACAGTGAAATTGTGTATTCATATTAATTACAGAGTCACAAAGTAGTTTTTGTGTTAAAAAAAAATAAAAGCAGGCACCTGAAATTTATGAGCTCATACAACATGTATTTATAGGTGTTCCTACTCTGAGTTTCAAAAAAAAATGGGGGGAAGGAAGGTTATGCAAATAACCTCAGTGCTAATTACAGTGGCAAGAAAAAGTATGTCAACCTTTTGGAATTTCATGGTTTTCTACATTAATTTGTCATAAAATGTGATCTGATCTTCATCTAAGTCAAAAGTACTGACAAATATAATGTGCCTACAAAAACAAACAAACAAAAAAATTCTGATCTTTCATGTCTTTATTGAAGACATTCATTCAACATTCAAAATAGTAGTGGAAAAACTAAGTGAACCCCTGGAATTAATAACTGGTTGACCCCCCTTGGCAGCAATAACCTCAACCAGGCGCTTCCTGTAGCTGTGGATCAGACCTGCACATCATTCAGGAGGAATTTTAGCCCATTCTTCCTGGCAGAACTGCTTTAGCTCCGTCATATACTTTGGACATCTCGTGTATGGTTATCTTCAAGTCATTCCACAGCATCTCTATTGGGTTGAGGTCTGGGCTCTGACTTGGCCACCCCAAAAGGCGGATTTTGTTTTTCTGAAGCCATTCTATTGTGGACTTGCTCCGGTGTTTTGGGTCATTGTCCTGTTGCATCAACCAACTTCTACAGCGTTTCAGCTGATGTACAGACATTCTCACATTATCCTGAAGAATTTTTTGATACACCTGGGAATTCATCTTCCTCTTAAGCAAACTGGCCAGGCCCTGATGCAGCAAAGCAGGCCCAAATCATGATGTTTCCTCCACCATACTTTATGGTTTAGATGATGTTATCATGATGATATGCAGTGCCCTTTTTATGCCAGATGTAGTACTGCGTGTTCTTTCCAAATAGTTCAATCTTCATCAGTCCACAAAGCATTTTCCCAATAACGCTGAGGAGTGTCAATGTGCTCTTTTGCAAACTCAAAAGGTTTGAGTGGTTTATATCAAAGTAGCTCTAGTCCACACCTCCAAACTCATTTTCTTAACAAGACTCCAGGTATGTTAACACCTGACTCCAATTAGCTTTTTGGAGGTCATTAACTCAAGGGTTCACATACTTTAGTGCCACTAGCACTATGAGGTTTTATGGTTGTTCTCAATAAAGACATGAAAGATCAGAATTTTTTTGTGTTGTTACATTAGCATCTTATATTTGTCAGTACTCTTGACTTAGATGAAGATCAGATCACATTTTATGACAAATTAATGCAGAAAACCATGAAATTCCAAAAGGTTCACATACTTTTTCTTGCCACTGTAATTAGCAGTATTAAGTGTTTGCAGTTGCTTCTCTACAAGTAAAAAGAACATTTATCTGACTTTCAACAACCATTTTCAGAGAACATTTAAACATAGATGAGACAAAAGTTAAATGACAGAACTATAGAAAAACATCTTTCACTTGCAAGTTTTATTTTATATAATTCTGATTATCTTGAGTTTTTAGAAGGCTTTGTGTACATGTTATGCTTTGTACCTCACCTGCACAAGACTTTTACATCAAATGTAGGTACATCCAAGTACATATATGTAGGTAAAGGTGTGTTTGTACAGTATATATGCGAATGCATACTGTACTTTTTAATTATAAAAACTGTATATTAATGTCCAAACCAACAGACAGACATAATAATACAAAGTTTATATTTATGAACGTAAATGATCATTTTGGTGTCAATACAGGCAGTGGAACATTTTCACCAAAACTCTGCCCCTTTATTCCAGACTGTGTGCGTGGTTTGGTACCAGCAGTGCTGAATAACAGACAGCTCAAAAAATCTCAAAACTATGTACAACATGAATAATGTGTTTAGTGAGTCGACCTGCTTTAATAACAAACTGAGGAGTGTTTGATATGTGTACCTGCGCAGCGTGCTGAGCGCATCGGTCATGGTGTTGCAGCGCTTCAGCAGGGCGTCCAGGCGGTGAGGCTCCTCTTTCAGGAACTTAACAGCCTCCACCTCCACCCTCAGCACCACACGCATCTTACTCTGCAGGCTGGGGAACTGGTCTGGACAGCAGGGAGAGAGACAAAACTCAGGAGGGAGAACGGCGGGAAGGGAATGAGACAGTGAACGAACTTGCAAAATGCCTAAAGGAAACACCAATGAGTGTCTCAGAGAATTAAATAGACAACCAAACAGCCACGGCAATCACATCACCATCTCCTAATGTACACAGGAGGTCCTAACAACACTAACTTTTGAGCTCAGTGAGAGTCTCTCCCAGCACCCGCAGCTCTTTGCTCTTCTGCTCCACATCCTGCTCGGTCACCAGGCCGTGATTGACTGACGAGTTTCTCTGCAGCTCCTCCACAGACTTCTCCAGATCACTGGGGGGAGAGGGGTCACAGATTCATGTCACTGCAGTAGATAATGTTACATCTATGACCTTCATGCTACCATTACCATCAAACTGCCTGGCCTAACAAGATTACAAATCTGACATATTTGGCAGCAACTTTCAGTGACACTGAGAGATTCTGGAAGACACTAAAAAAAGTAGTGAGGTTCAATACCCAGCCACAGTCAATGCCCAGGGTCCTGCTGTGCCTGTGGTTTTCTCAACCAGGGCAACCGACACTAATTACACTTTACTGTGCTTGTTGCCTAGGTTAAATGTGCTCTGAACTCACTGCAGCTGCTGGATGAGCAACTCCTCCTGGTTCAGGTACTTGAGTCTCTCCTCCTCCACTAGGAGGCGCTGTCTCTGGAGTGGATCCTCCTGAGTGCGCATCACATCCAGCATCATCAGGCTGAGCTCTGATTCCGTCTGCCGCAGCAGTGACAGCACCAAGTCCTGGTTCTCCAGCTAGAACACCAAGTCACAGGGTTTTTTTTTTATTTTGCTTGATTTTCATTTATATTTTACACAGTTTCTTTGTTATTGTAAAAACATTCAAGCCCAGATACACTCAGCTGCAGCCAGTTTCTTTGGAACACCTTCTGAAGTTGAAACTAATGCAGTCTAATATTGCTCAATCTATTTCAAAGAGGTGTTGATTCAATGGTATGATCATTGTGGAAGCTGCTGCTGAACTGCATTATACAGACGTGCTTCTGGTACTTAGTGTGGCCTCATAGATATAAATGGGATGGACAGAAATATTACCCCTCTCTGAATCACTGATCTTGTAGCTGAGTCAACACGTCTCTGACACAGTTTGAGCACAAACTGCTTGATTAGAATTTTTACAGTGCCTTGCGAAAGTATTCGGCCCCCTTGAACTTTGCGACCTTTTGCCACATTTCAGGCTTCAAACATAAAGATATAAAACTGTAATTTTTTGTGAAGAATCAACAACAAGTGGGACACAATCATGAAGTGGAACGAAATTTATTGGATATTTCAAACTTTTTTAACAAATAAAAAACTGAATAATTGGGCGTGCAAAATTATTCAGCCCCTTTACTTTCAGTGCAGCAAACTCTCTCCAGAAGTTCAGTGAGGATCTCTGAATGATCCAATGTTGACCTAAATGACTAATGATGATAAATAGAATCCACCTGTGTGTAATCAAGTCTCCGTATAAATGCACCTGCACTGTGATAGTCTCAGAGGTCTGTTTAAAGCGCAGAGAGCATCATGAAGAACAAGGAACACACCAGGCAGGTCCGAGATACTGTTGTGGAGAAGTTTAAAGCCGGATTTGGATACAAAAAGATTTCCCAAGCTTTAAACATCCCAAGGAGCACTGTGCAAGTGATAATATTGAAATGGAAGGAGTATCAGACCACTGCAAATCTACCAAGACCTGGCCGTCCCTCTAAACTTTCAGCTCATACAAGGAGAAGACTGATCAGAGATGCAGCCAAGAGGCCCATGATCACTCTGGATGAACTGCAGAGATCTACAGCTGAGGTGGGAGACTCTGTCCATAGGACAACAATCAGTCGTATACTGCACAAATCTGGCCTTTATGGAAGAGTGGCAAGAAGAAAGCCATTTCTTAAAGATATCCATAAAAAGTGTCGTTTAAAGTTTGCCACAAGCCACCTGGGAGACACACCAAACATGTGGAAGAAGGTGCTCTGGTCAGATGAAACCAAAATCGAACTTTTTGGCAACAATGCAAAACGTTATGTTTGGCGTAAAAGCAACACAGCTCATCACCCTGAACACACCATCCCCACTGTCAAACATGGTGGTGGCAGCATCATGGTTTGGGGCTGCTTTTCTTCAGCAGGGACAGGGAAGATGGTTAAAATTGATGGGAAGATGGATGGAGCCAAATACAGGACCATTCTGGATGGAAACCTGATGGAGTCTGCAAAAGACCTGAGACTGGGATGGAGATTTGTCTTCCAACAAGACAATGATCCAAAACATAAAGCAAAATCTACAATGGAATGGTTCACAAATAAACATATCCAGGTGTTAGAATGGCCAAGTCAAAGTCCAGACCTGAATCCAATCGAGAATCTGTGGAAAGAACTGAAAACTGCTGTTCACAAACGCTCTCTATCCAACCTCACTGAGCTCGAGCTGTTTTGCAAGGAGGAATGGGCAAAAATTTCCGTCTCTCGATGTGCAAAACTGATAGAGACATACCCCAAGTGACTTACAGCTGTAATCGCAGCAAAAGGTGGCGCTACAAAGTATTAACTTAAGGGGGCTGAATAATTTTGCACGGCCAATTTTTCAGTTTTTTATTTGTTAGAAAAGTTTGAAATATCCAATAAATTTCGTTCCACTTCATGATTGTGTCCCACTTGTTGTTGATTCTTCACAAAAAATTACAGTTTTATATCTTTATGTTTGAAGCCTGAAATGTGGCAAAAGGTCGCAAAGTTCAAGGGGGCCGAATACTTTGGCAAGGCACTGTAGTTTTAGCTACTGCAAGTGTACCTAATAAGCTGACAACCAAGCACAAAGTAAACACTTGTAAACTGCACGTGCACAAATTTGTCACAATTACACTTGTTTCACTCCCAGCTACATGTCCACACACCTGCATGTTGCGCAGCTGCGACAGCTGTTTGCGCAGTGCATTGGTGTTCTGCTGCAGGCTTTGTAGATGGAGCTGCATCTGCAGATGTGACACTGTCACAGGCTGGTTGGCCCCCGAAGGTGGTGGTGGCATCAGAGCCAAGGGAGCAGACGGTGTCAGAGCTGCCCAAACAAAGAGCAGGATTTAAACAGAACTTCCTCTTAGCTTTATTTTGGTTCCATTATAGCAAACTGAAGCTGATAGAAGTTGTCCCAAACACTATTAGCAAACCAAAAGGTTTATAATGAATGCCTGAGGGGAAAGCTGAACAACCGCAAATTGTGTATTGCCTGAAACCCCAACTCTTAAGTAGTCAAATCCCCTAACGTTTGACTCTCAGGATTTCAAATGCTCATCCAGTAGAAAAACAATCTGACTGACTGGATACAGGATTGGACAGCAGCGATTCAGGACACGTTCTATCTGTGCTGCAGGTCAACGGTGGAGATTACACAGACTTAATGATGAACAGCATGGGCAGGCTTCAGGGACAAACAGGGTCAGCAGTGGGACAGAAAACAGAATTTCCAATAAATCAAAGTATCTCCTTGTTTAAAAAAAACAACAACACCCAGACAGCTCAAATGTATGAATGCTTCCAAATCAGATAATCCTCTGGAAACGACAATGAATGCTACAGTATGCGCTGACAGTTATTAGGGTGTGGAGTCACATACATCATGCAGAACGACACAAGGGGAAAGTAACTGGAAGACAAATCGATAACTGTGTTTTAAGAGTTGCATTTCAAGGCAGTTTTCATTAACTAAAGCTATGACAACCTGGATTCCTCTGTCGCCACCAGAACAACACATTCTCTTAAAGTATAATCCCTCAGGTGCCTCAAAGAAGCACGTATACAGACAAGATGACCGCTTCCAACTTGCTGCAGTGTGCCTTCCAGAAACTCTGACCAGAAGAGCTGAAGCTACAGTGGGGTTTTGGCTAAATCTGACCATAATTCCAGGCAGTTTTAGAAGAGCACAGTGGGCAGCATCTCTGAAACTGCTGTCGTCATTACCCAGATGTCTGTCTGCAGCCTCACCAGCTCAGAATGTCCTGGTTTTAACTGTGAGCACAAAGACATTGAGTCAGTCTATTACAGACCAAAGGAAACTACACAATTTCATCCATGTGGCAGACAGAAAGGTTTTTGACCTCTTCACAGGAGAAAGAAGCATAAAGAGCCAAAGTCACAGGTTTTTAAAGTTAGAGAAAGTCTGTGAAGATTTCCTAAAATTCAAGTAAAAATTCAAGTTTAAACAAACCAAACTACTCTATTAAAAAGGTCAGTTTTAAGTTGCCAAAGACTCAGAGTATGCAGGCCCATCTATAATTTGACATGAGATCAAATTTTCCAATGCTTATGCGCAATCAGATAAGAGGAAAATCAATTGAAATCAAAACATCTCTACCTCTGGGACCCTTCAAACGGAACCCTTCAAAGACACAAATTCATTTCATTCTTCTTCAGCCTTCAAAACATTCAATTTCAACAGCACCAGTGTGGCTGAAGCAGTTTTATGTTTTGTGCACACAGCAAATGTTCACTGCTCCCACCAATAATTCACTCAGCAGAAAAAAGTGAAAAGCCTCAACAAAACATGTTTTCATTTCCAGTTTAATGCAACTCTAATTATTTCTTATTCACAAAGATAGAAAACAGTAAAATTGAAGGAAGCCAGCTGACGGAGTAGGTCCTTCACAACGACACACACACACACACGTTGTGAAAACTAACTGGGATCCAAATGGAGAACACAGAGGGGTAGATGAGGGAACAGGTACCAGACACTCCAGGAACACACATAGTAGCTACCTTTCTTTTTTTTTATTCGTCCAGCTAAAACAAGAAGCACGGGCACCAGTTACACAGTAGCAGCAAAAGCCAGCACATACAGTCTGAAGCAGCTCAGCCGTTATGATCATGTGAGGCACTTTAAAAATTATGCAGAAAAATGAAATAGCAGCAGCTCTGTGAGAGGAAGAAGAGCCGGTTTATGTAGCTATCAAACAGGCAGCAGTGTGGAACAGTGACAGGCAGTGATAGGAAACAGTTTGTCTGCTTGTTTGGTGGCGAGCACTTACTGTCAGTTCCTGAGCAGTCACTGGCTGACTCTATCTTCTCCCTAGAAGAGGCCAGCGTCAAAGTACTTAAAGCCAGAACACACTTCACCTTAGCTACGAAGAAGCTCTTCATTTATGGTGGAAAATGTGTTGTGGGCATTAGAGAAAGATTTCAGACAAGAATCATCACAGTTTTCTCATATCACTGACAGATAATGTGCTGCTTAGCACCAACTTACATGTCTAAATAAAGCAAACAGTGATGTATGAACAGGTTTTACTTTATGTGAAGCACTATGCAAACATTCTAATCACTTTAGCGGTTTAGAATCACAGTCTCAACAGGGAGAAGGCTGATCGGTCTAAAAACTCGATCTGCAGCACAACCATGAGCCCAAACATGCAGCCAGAGCCATATTCAGAAGTAAGAACCAAGAGTCCTTCAGCAGGTGGTCCGGCCCACACAGAGCCCTGATCGCAACATCATGGAGTCAGTCCAGGATGACGTGAAGACACCGAGACAGCCTGAATCCACAGAGGAACTGTGGCAGAACAGCCTACCTGCCATGTACCTGGAGAAACTGTGTCCAGGTGTACTGAGGAGATCTGGTGCTGGTTTAAAGGCTAACACTGATTTGATTTAGGTCTTTTCTGTTTAATGCACTTTGGCTGAAGTTAAACTATTTGTGGCATTATGTTTGACAGCATCCTCACTTTACTTTTAGTGCATGGAACTTTTGTCCAGTTTTGCATTTTCCATATGTTCCTAGATGAAATACTGCATTTAGCAGACAACTACATAAAAAGTATATATATGTTCTAGTAGACTGTTCTCATGTGTTGAGGCAAATGTGTTTTTGTATGTAGTATTTTTGTGTGTGTGTGTGCGCCTTACGGGCTTTCCGCCTCAGGCCCTCTGCTCAGAACTCTCTGCAGCAGCCCGGTTAGGCTGGCTATCTGCTTCTCCATGGCCTCCATCCGCTCCCTGGATTCACACACCAGAGATGTATGAAATATTTCAAGTCACAAATGTTTAATGCCTTTTTGAAAATAACACAGAACAGATACTGGATTTTCCCCATTTACCATTGACAGTAACTGTGGTACAGGTAAAATATTTACTCTGCTTTGAGCTGACGGTTGTACTGATAAAAAGTTCATATACAACTGGTTACTGTAATTACATTAAAGGACAGCTTTACATTTTTTTTTTTAGCTACAAGTGAAGTATAGACACCACAGTCATACTTATGTGAATAACAAACAGTATGCAAAAATGTGTTGAGGCTGCCGTACCTGGTCTCTGTTTCATTCCCCAGCAGAGGTGAGCCAAAGCCTCCGGCGCTCCCTCCCTCCCCTCCAGGACCAGCCATCAAGCAGAGCTGCTCTGAGGTGAGACCTAATCCTGGACCCTGACCCCGGGCCTTGGGACTATCCCCAAAGACAGAGGAGGTCACAGAGTCCCTTCTCAAACTCTGCCTCCCAGGAGAGCCCCGACTGGGCATGGTGCTCGCATAGGAATCCCTCATGTCGGGCATCTTCTGTGGGGAGGAAGATGGTGGCACCCGCAGCCCCATAGCCAACATAGACGCAGCATAGGCATCATTGTAAAGGGGTCCTCCCGGCCTGTAGAGAGCACCACTTTCCATCAGTTCTCCTTGTAAAGCAGCTGCTGAATATGAGGTGAGTGAACGCACGGATCCAGCACCTCCTCCTCCTCCGCGGCGATATAAGGAGCCGTAGGGATCGGCTCTCACTGGTAGAGGGGAATGAGGTCCTCCTGCGAGACCCAGCCGACTCGGGTCTGGGCCCAGACTGTAGGGGTCTGCATAGATCCCCCCTCCACCACGATCATCCCCCCGCAGCAGCACCATGCTCCTGGATCCCCCTACTTCATCATCAGGCTTCACATCCCTGCGTTCCAGGATGGCACTGGAGGAGGCACAGAAGGCCTGCTGGGTGTGGTGGGGCTGATGGAGCTGTGGCTGCTGGTGGGGAGAGGAGTGGTGGGACTGGGAGTGTGGGTGTGGCAGGGAGTGGGTGTGGTGGGGTTGTCCAGCGTAGGAAGAAGGCCTACTGCCGCTATAAAGGAGGCGGGCGCGGGCCGGTGAGCCTTGAGGAGGTGAGGCAGACGAGGATGAATGATGGGAAGACATGGGTGGGTTGCTGAGGCGGCGGCTGGGTGGAGAGTCCTGAGGTGCATACACCATCTCCCTCTGTGAACAAATGCAGAAGCGGGCATGTACTTGTCACTCCTAACTGACACCAAACTCCACAAGTGATGTACTTCTGGCCCTACTGTTAGGAATTTATAGACTCTTAACAAATGGCATATCAGGCACATTCACCAATGACAAAGCGCATATAAGAATTGGACAACGTTTGGACTCTGGGATCCTTCTCCTCAAAAACCAATACACACACAAACACTTTAACAAATACACGTTTGTCACAGCCAAAAATCTCAGGAGTAATTTATCCATCTTTGATTGCTGGTACAGCTCTTAATTATATGTTAGCTTGTTTATTGCACTATTTTATCATTAGTATACAATTTCTTGTGTCTGAGAGATATTATATTCTTTTGTTATGTGTATTTTCCAATGCCAATGACATTTCAGAAATAATTTTCCCTGCCTGAAAAGCCATAGAAGTTAAAGGTGCCCTGTAACTACTAGCAGAGATGAGGAGGAGGGGACATGACATACATTCATGCATGTTTTCAACTACTCTACTGATTTACAGATGGCTGTAATGAAGCTGTGTGCCAGCAGAAAGCAGGCAAGAAGAACATTAGCAAGTACTCATCAACGCAGGTTTGAACACTGTCAAACATTCTGCTTGTTTGTCAGAGCTCAAGGATGTACACAATGCCTTTTGGTTAGAAACACTGAATGTACAGTAAACCAAATGTGTTTACAAGAAACCTCCACAGGCCTCAACAGGAGGTGTAGTTGAAAGGGAAATTGGACAATGAAAGACAAATAGAACACGACATCACAGTTGTTAATGCAAAAATAAGCACTGTAAAGCGACAGGTTTGGATGGGGCTAATTATTCAATACATTTTAAATTCTACATCATGTTTTTAATCATGATTTTTACTGATTCCTACAGTATGAGTGATTCTGGGTAAATACAGGCACTGAGGATATTGTACATGTAGGCTCCCTTTATCCTATTTATTTTATCTGTTGTATATTTTGTCAGCAATCACAATATGGCTGAGCAACTAGCATTTACAAAAATCTTTAACATTTTACAGCAATTTATAGCTGCTGTCTCGTTGACTGACAGGAGAGACTATGAACTGTCCTTTAAGTGCATTTGAAGTTGCACTGATAGCGCATTGAAAGACTGAGCATGAAGAGATTACGTCCTGGCATCAATCTCCCCAGTCAGAGAGAAAGGCAAAACAAAGCGCAGCAGAACAGAGCAGAGTGTAAGAGAAAGCCCAGCATCAGAGGGCACCAGCCAAGACTGATAGATACAGCAAGGAAACACAATGAAGACAACACTGTAATTGCTTATGACGCACAAAGCCATCTCCTGGAAACGATGCAAATTGAAAAACCAATATTTCCACATAATAACCCTCAGGCCTGTGACAACAACACCCTGTGGATAGCCTCACTGCAGACTAATGACCAGCGCCATCATCTTCTGTCTTGTATCTTAGCAACGGCCTCGCATTGACACCATCCTTCAACCATGCTGAAGACATTCAGACATTTCATTCCACCTCCAAGACCCCCTGAAGTCACGAGACGTATATCACAGGCAAACTGCCCAAAAGTTTGTCCCTTGGCACCTTCCAAAGCAGTCGTCAATCTCCTCCTGCTCAATATTCTGTCCTCCAGTCACAGGCTTGGATGGTCTTTAGTAACTAATCCTGGTCATGCTTTTGTGGTCAGCAATCAGGGAATAATCTTGGCTGTACACACACACACACACACACACACACGTCCTAGTCACTCACCTTGGCAGCAGCAGAAGCAGCCAATGTACCCTACACACATAAAACACAAGGTAAGCCTGCTGGTTTGATAAGGCTGTAAAACGCTAGGAAGGTTTCAGAGCCGTACACGAGCTGGAAACGGCAACCGATCCCACTGGGGAGCCAGAACGGTTGACCTCCAAAACATTAGCTGGCAGCTGCGGATCATGCACACGGGTAGGCAAAAAAAAAAAACAAACAACCCAATCACACACATAGGCAGCTAAACAAAAAGCCTCAAGGTGTTTGACTGACTACAGCAAACGTGTCAAAATCCCTCCTGTCGACAACATGTTTAACACAGAGTGTGCACTCCGTATGTCTGCTTCCCCGTTATGTAATTTACCTAGTTGATAATTTATTTTATTCTATAAGAGCAGCATCCTCTAACACTTTAAATTACTGCTTTCTCATTTCCATAATCGCAGTGTAATTAGAAGGCAACAAAATGCAAGGCCTTGTACAGAAAACTGAATGACATTAGGCATTCTCTATTGGCAGTGGTTTATCTCGCCCCAGCTGTATCCAAATGTAGAAAGCATTAGTAATCATGCTAATAAGGCTGATGCCACATTTACTTCTGCCAGCAGCTGACAAATTAAGATAAATCCCATTGTGGTTCATCAGTAGAGACATGATGATGTGATTTTTTTTCTCTCGATAGGTTTCGATGTACGATGTGGTGTGTATGATTCAATAACGATACCATTAAAAATCCAATGACAACAACGTGTGGAATACTTGTACTTGACTAGCACTGGCTTGATTATGCAAAGAACAACCAGATATACTGACTTACTTTGTTAGTCTAGCTTATTTACAAAAGAATATGAAGTCATAGGTGCATGGAGACCACATGTATATGGTTAGACAAAACAATACATAGTGACATTTTTGTATTGCAATATATTGAATATCAATATATTGACCCATCCCTGCTCATCAATATGCCACAGATCAGGAGAGTCATTACAGGTAATGAGACTACACCAGTACCAGTTGTTGATAAGTTGAGCTACAGAAAAGTGTGTGTCAACAAACATGATTATCGTTATTGGACTGATCATTCATGTTCTCTCTTTAGTTACCGTCCAACATGTTAAAGAACTTTTTTGATAACCTGGAGATGAGTGCTCGTCCTCAGCGTGTCCACCATGACCTTTTACATGATGTACAAATGACTGACGGTAACTTTTGTTTTATTCTCAATTTAACAGCAATACATACAGTAGTGCAGTCCAAGTCTGCATCCCTGCCCACAGTCCATCATCTCAGAATAGTGTTTGTTCTATTTTACAGTCTCTGGGCATCCAGCCCAGTCTGCGCCGGTGAAGTAAAGGCCTGGCACTGGTCCAGTAACAATAGTGCTAGGTAAGGTCACATGACACTCGCAGAGAGTGAGTGAAACTAGCTTATGCTTGGACACATTATGTAAAGCAAACTAGTGT